ACCCGTCTGCTCCATAGTGCTCTTCGCTACTTCTGTGGGTTGCTTTACTTTTTAAAATGCAGAAAATCCATAGCACTTGACTGATTGGTTTGGGCATAACCCATGTTACTTTTTGCATGTGGGATGCATTTTTTCAGCATTTTTCTTGAATGCACGAAAGTGCTTCATATGGACTTTGGACCATTGGTCTTTTTAGCCCAGTGCTGCCTCCTGACTGGCAGCTCTGAAGGGGGCAGGTTGTCCTTCTTCACCATTTAATGACGCCAAATTCATAACTATAAAATCAACTGGAAAGACGTGCAAAAATTGCAAAGCGTTGAAGGTTTCCCTTGCTAAATTACAGTTTTAGTGTAATGTGGTTATACATTTGTTGTTGGGGGGAAAAGGAAATTAATGATCAATATTCAGTTTCTTATAAAGCTCTTGTTTCTCTACAGTTTGCTTGGCTGGTTTCTGGAACTTGGTTATTTCTTGAACTTAAGGGCTGAGCAGCCTAGTGATTTCCAATTTTGGGGGGGGGGTCCCTGGCCAAGGGCCCATCCTGGCTGTGGCTCATGATAGTGTAAAGCAGACCTGGGCAAAGTGTGGCCCAAGGGCCACATACGGCCCTCGAGCTGATCCTGTCTGGCCCGCGGACAGTTTTGAACATCAAAACCGTTTATAGCTTTTCGTCTAAAGTTGATCAGTTGCTTATCTTTGACATACTGCAAAAAACCTCTTTAGTATTTGTGAAGATTAACAAGTTTAAAATAAAAACAATCATAACATCACTGTTTCATTTTATTTTTAAGTAAAGTTGGTTCGGCCCCCAAACACAGTTCAGACTTTTCATGTGGCCCCCCTATAGAAATTAATTGCCCACCCCTGGTATAAAGTAATGGTTCCCAACTTTTGGTAACCCAGATATTCTTGGACTTTACCTCCCAGAAAGTTTGACCAGTATAGCTAGTGGTGAAGCTTCTGGGAGTTTGAGTCCAAGGACATCTGGGGAATTATTAAATGCTGATTTGTAGGGCCTCACCAATTCCTTCTCAGTGCTTTTATATGTTGTGAAGGATGTATGGCCTATGTAGCTGAAGAAAACAAATAGTGTAAACATTCTGCACTAAGCTCAAAACTAAGCTTTGGTTTCTCTAACAGTTCATTCTATTTTAGACAAGCAGGTAATTGGTCTCCCAGCAGAACGTTGCTAGTATGATTGCCAAGAAGGATAGGGTAATGTCTGACTTCTGTGTTCCAGACCAGACATAACTGTACCAGATCTTTCTTTAATCATTTTTGCCAGTTATAAATGGATGGGACATTTTACGGTGCCAAATAATAATTCTTCTTCTTTTAATGGCTGCTAAATCGGCTTTTGGAACAAAACAGAAGTTTCTTTTTCCCACCCAGTACCAAATCCTTGTTTATGGAAAAGCAGATTACTTTCCTTATGTTTTTCTGACTTGGTACCATAGACTTGATTCCTTTGTTTTCTTTTGGATGTGCTGAACTCTTCACAAGATAAATTCACTTGGCAGGGTTCCTATGGGGGGCATATTTCTGATGAGTGTGGGATTAAGGCTGATTTTAGCAGGGGAGAAACAGCAGGGTTTTGGACAGGGTGATCCAAAGTTCGGTGACAAGATACCTCCCTGTATCCCCCACGACTAGCACAGACAGTGACTGTGCTCCTGGTGGGATTATGGGAGCTGTAGTCCAGAAGAGTAACAATTCCAAACCCTCAGTTATCCAGTTCAAATGCCTGCCGTTTCTCATATTTCTCTCTTTCTAACATTAACTTTAATCCTATTTTATGCTAGGAGGCAGAAACATTATTACTATGCTAAAGTGGACATAAATTGGTTGGATAGCTCAGTGGTTTAGGTATCTGCCTGTGGAGCCAGAGGTTGTGAGTTCGATTCCTTATGGGGCCTCCTGGGAGAAGAGCCAGCCTGTGTGGTCTTGGGCAAGCTGTGCAGTTCCAGGGCTACCACAGAAGAAAGGAATGGGAAGCCACTTCTGTATGTTCTCTACCTAGAAGACCTTGAAAAGGGTCACTATAAGTTGGAATCAACTTGAGGGCACAGAATTATTATTCAAAGTAGACAGAAATAACATTTCTATTAAATGTAGACCTTTCCTAGTTACACATAATGCAAATAATCTGACTTCAGCATCAAAAGAGATGGAGGGCACTATCTTAGATACTGACTGCCTATCCTTTGAGGCAGCTGCCACTGACTTTTGCCATTGAATTGAAATACTGGAAATGGGATAGGGGTGCTTCCAAGCCAGCAGGCCCTAATGCCACAGTCAGAAAGTTAGATTTTCTGTGCTTAGGAGCAAAGTTCAGAACCCTATTACAAAATAGGTAAAGGTTCCCCTTGACAGTTTGTCCAGTCGTGTTCGACTCTAGGGGGTGGTGCTCATCCCCGTTTCCAAGCCATAGAGCTAGTGCTTGTCTGAAGACAATATTCCATGGTCACCGCGACTAGACATGGAATGCTGTTATCTTCCCACCGTGGTACAAAATACTGTGCTTGTAAAGGAAATTGTGCAAGCATTTTTAGATTTTTTTTGTAATTTCTGACTGGTTTTTTTTTTTGCACACCTAGATGTATATGTGAGTGTGTGACTTGTACAAGAGACAGCTGGAATGATGGCACATACCAGTTACCTTTCTTTCTTTCTTTCTTTCTTTCTTTCTTTCTTTCTTTCTTTCTTTCTTTCTTTCTTTCTTTCTTTCTTTC